CCCAATGTCCACCCAATGCAAACCCACTCCAAAGCCAGTACCTTTTGCCCCAAACAAATCCTAAATCTCAACACCCATGCACCCATTTCCCCCTTACCCCCAACTTACCATAGTGCTCTCAAAGATCCAAACTGGCATGCTGCTATGTGTGATGAATATAATGCCTTGATCAAGAATGACACATGGGAATTAGTACCCCCATCCCCCACACAAAATATCATCACCGGTAAATGGCTCTTCAGACATAAACTTGGCCCTTCGGGTGAGTTAACCATGTATAAGGCCCGATGGGTTGTTCGTGGTTTCAATCAGCGTTTTGGCGTCGATTACGGTGAAACGTTCAGCCCCGTTTTCAAGCCTGCCACTGTTCGCGTCGTCCTCAGTGTTGCTCTGTCTCGCGGTTGGCCCATTCATCAGCTAGATGTCAAAAATGCATTCCTCCATGGCCAGCTTCAGGAAACCGTATATGCCAGTCAGCCGTTTGGATTCCAGGATGCCACACGGCCTCACCATGTCTGTAAGCTCAAAAAGGCTCTGTACGGTCTCAAGCAGGCACCTCGCTCATGGTATCACAGGTTTGCCGGTTTTATTCAAACTATCGGGTTCCAAGGATGCAAGTCTGACACGTCCCTCTTCACTTTTGCTCATGCCACGGGTGTGGCCTATCTTCTCACTGCCTCTTCACCTGCACTCCTTCAGAGCATCATTCAGAAACTCAAGGCTGAGTTTGCCATGACGGACATGGGAGACTTACATTTCTTCCTCGGCATCAATGTTCATCGCACTTCCACGGGGATGTTCCCCCATCAGACTCAGTTCACCCATGACATCCTCGAGCGGGCTGGGATGGTCTCCTTTCGCCCCATCTCTACGCTAGTGGACGCGAAGGCAAAATAATCCTCCTCAGCTGGGACGGCCCTCCTTGATCCGACGTTGTACAGGTCCATTGTTGGAGCCTTGCAGTACCTCACCTTCACTCGACCTGACATCACATATGTCGTCCAGCAGCTTTGCCTTCACCTCCATGCACCTAGGGACATGCACCTCACGGCCATGAAGCGAATACTACGCTACCTGCGCGGCACGGCCACCCACGGCATCCATCTGGCACGTTCCACTACAGATTTTTTACAAGCCTACTCTGATGCAGACTGGTCTGGTTGTCCTGACACTAGACGGTCCACCTCTGGTTACTGTGTTTTCCTCGGCGACAACTTGGTCTCCTGGTCATCCAAGCGCCAGGCCACCACCTCCCGTTCCAGTGCCGAGGCCGAGTACCGGGCTGTGGCCAATGCCATCACTGAGACTTCGTGGATCCGCAACCTTCTCCTTGAGCTTCAGCAGCCACTTCGACGTGCCACCCTCGTTTTCTGCGACAACATCAGCGCCGTCTACCTATCATCGAATCCAGTACAGCACTAGCGGACCAAACACGTGGAGGTCGACATACACTTTGTCCGGGATAAAGTTGCACTTGGGCAGGTTCGTGTTCTTCATGTTCCCTCTTCTTCTCAGTAAGCCGACATCTTCACCAAAGGCCTACTGTCCCTGCTCTTTCTCGAGTTCAAGTCCAGCCTGAGTGTCCGACCTCCTCCACATCCGACGTAGCCGAGAGCATGCTAAATATATTAATTATATTTATTATTCTTGTAATTATTATGTTACCATACTTGTATAGACTTCCTAATATGGATCTCCTACTATGATTATGATTGAAGCCTCTAGTATATATTGATGTAATCTCTACACAATTATTCAATGAAAATATTTCTTCTACAGCATCACTTCTCGCGGATACCACCACGTTAGCCATGGACGAGATGAAATGCGAGTCTAATTACACTAATTTTGATATTAATAATACTCCGTAATAAAGTTCGATTTCCCTTAAAAATATAGTACTAAAGTTTGACATTATGAATTTAATAGCTAGCCATAACATATACGGATATTCATTCTTGAAATCGTACTCCATTCGTCCATAAATAAATTAAAGTTCTAATTTTGCCTTTTCTTTGTCCGAAAATAAAATTCGTTCCTATTTTTAATTTTAATCTACACTCTTCCAAAAGCATCTTCTTCTTTGTTTCAATGGTAGGGTATAGCGGTGGTGGCTGAGGGATTGGCGGTTGTAGTGGGGACTAGCAACGACGGGGGTGCGGGCGGAGATGGTGGGGTTGGAAGTGGTGGTGGGGGCCGGCGGCGATGGGGGTGTTGGTGGTGGGGTTGGAAGTGGTGATGGAGTTGGTGATTGTGTGAGGGATAGCAGCGATAAGGAGATGGCAGAATTGGGCAATTGGCAGTGCGGAGGGGCTAGCAATGAGAAGAGTATTTTGGACCATTCGACTTCATAGTCAACCACCAATAACAATGAACAAAAGTAAGAATGAGAACTTGTTTTCGAGATGGGGGAAAGTAACAATAATATTCCCTTCGGTCAGATTTAATATAGTCATTTGATTTTTCTTGATCAAAATTTGTAAACTTTAATTTCGATTTATGAAAAAAACAATTGTTTCAATATAAATATGATATCAATACTTTCCTTTTGAAACGTAATTTTGAAATATTAACTTTTTATAAAATATACTCCTGTTTTTAAAAATATTTTCGTCTAAATTTTTTACGCACCCGACAAAATATTTTTACTTCCACCTAAAATGCCTAAAATACATCCCGTTATGTAGTTTATTGCGGTTAAAAGTTGTTTAAGAGTTATTTTAGACATTTTAGGTAGAGTAAAAGTATTTTATGATGTGCCAAAAAATTTGGGCGGAAATGCTTTCAAGAACGAAGAGAGTATTTATATATAAATAGAGATATTAATGGTCAAAGTTTTACATTAGAGATATCTCATCAAAAGCCAAGTGAAAAGATTAAATTCCAATGGAGAAAGTGATCTCATCTCTCCATATCGATGAAGAGTTTATTGCTTTAATACCCCCAACAAGTTTGTTAAATGTGCACCGTTGCCTTTATGATTTTAAAACTTACGTCATTGCCACTTATCATTTTGATATTCTTAGGATAATACCCTTCTAAAATCATATATTCTTTATATATAAAATTTGAGAGGTTGCTGTTTTGAGAGTATGGATAAATCTGCCCCCTATACCCCAATACTGGGATATCAATGGCAATTGGGGGAATTGAAGGACTGGAAGTGGAAGGACATGGTCTGGAATAGGTTCACCATTCCCAAACATAAGTTTATCTTTTGGCTAATCTGTAAAAACAAAATTCAAACCAAGTGCAGGTTAAGCAAATGGCTGCCCATTGATACTCAATGCATGTTGTGCCGAAATTCAGAGGAAACCCTTGATCATTTATTCTGCACATGTACCTTCTCCAGGGGAGTGTATACAGGTATCCAAGATTGGTTTCATTACAAGTTCGAGGGAGGAACCGTCAATGAAATGATAGAACACATCCAGAGGATTGCACCAAAGAAGAGGCAGAGAGGAATAGCAGCAGTCTTTGCAGCATGTCTATACAATATTTGGAAGTGCAGAAACCAAGCATTACATAACAATACTCTCACTCCAACTGAGGAAGCAGTGCAATGGATTAAATATTCATCTAGCACATACTTGCGTTCAAAATGCCAGCTTTGAATAAAATTTGTGAGAGCGTTAATAGGTTGTACTAGAGCAGTAGCTTATATCTCAGTGTGTTGCTTTATGGGGGGCTATAGACAGTAAGTAGCCACTCTTTGTAAGGGGTTTGTTTGTACATTTGAGTTGAGACATTGAATATATTTGCATTTGGTTAAAAATTTGAGAGGTTGGCTTCTAGGATTGTGACATGTGGCACGCTTATAAGATAACTTTTTTGACATGTCAGCATGCCATGTCAGCAAGTAATATTTAAAAAATTAGTTAACAAAAACACTTATTTTATGGAAACTGAATTTCGTATTTGTTAAACACAGATTTCTCAGCATAATCGCGTTTAAAAACTTTTATATTTTACATCATTATTGGAAAATATTAAAATTTAATAATATATTTTGATACGTAGTATTTAAACAAGGAACTCATATTAAAAAAAATCAAAACAAACAAATTTATTTCAAGAAGGGATAGATTAGTAGGACTAAATTAAATCTTTATATATAAAATTTAAGAGTTGGGCTTCTAGGATTGTGATATGTGGCATGCTTTTTAGTCAACTTTTTTGACATGTCAGCTTGCCATGTGAGCAAGAAATATTTAAAGAATTAGTTAACAAAACACTTATTTTATGGAAATTAAATTTTGTATTTGTTAAACACAGATTTCTCAGCATAATCGCGTTTAAAAACTTTTATATTTTATTTCCTTATTGGAAAATATTTAAATTAAATAATCCTTTCCTATAATAAAGGAGACTTTAATTTACAGCAATTCGACATTTGGCATGTCTATTTGGCAAAACTTTAACATGTTAACGCCACGTAATAACAGAGTAAGATTTAAAGAATATTATACACAGAGTAAGAAATTCATGCCGATTAAATTGATGACCTTTAAGATATTAATTGATAAAAAGGTTTCAATAATTTTCATATACATGTTTATACCACGAAGGTTAAAAGGCAAAAAAATTATATACGATCCCCAATGCAATGTTTATTACATAACACATGACTTATTTTTATTAAAAAGAAAACAAATGATAAAAAGTATTCATGCACACCTCAAATTTTAACATCTTTGAGGTTAACATTATTTTTCAAATACTTCTACACTATTTAAAAAACCTACTAGCAAGTTGAATTCACCAAAAAAATAAACGACCATAATATTCATGTAAAAAAAAATACTCTGATGTTTATTTGAAACCAAAAAATATATCATACCCAAACACTATTTTCTTTATAAATAAAATCGAATAATATAAATTTGATATTTCAAAATCTTTTTGAAAATAGAAATGTATTCTATGTATATTAAAATGCAACAAAAATATGAATGGAAAAATAATGCAGTTTTTTAGTATAACACATACCTTATTTATATTAAAAAAGAAAAAAACTGAATAATAATATGACTTTTCCAAAATTTAAAAAAATAACCTAATAAATTAATGAAAAAAATTTAAAAAAAACATGTGGTTGAAATTTATTTAAAAAAAGAAATGATACTCAAATTCTTTTCCTTAACAAAAAGAAAATGGTAAAATTTAAAAATTTTTTTTATTTTTTTTAAAATAATAATAAGAACAATGAACATATCTTTTGTATAAACTGAAGTCTTTCAGAAAATTTGGTATTAAATTTTTTTGTGTTGTATACAATCAATCCCTCAAATATTATTTATTCCACTTTGGTTTTTTTCTATGATACTCCCTCCGTCCCCCTAAGATGTTCTCATTTTGACTTTTGGTGGTTTTTAAGGAGAGTTGAAAAAAAGTGAGAAGATCTATTGTGGACAAAGAAAAAGGGTTATTTATTACATAACACATGACTTATTTTTATTAAAAAGAAAATAAAGTAGAGCGGTTTAACTGACGTTGCGACATTTGGCAGTCCATGTGTGCATTACAGTTGGACCAATTTTGCTTAGTCATGTGCCACGTATTTCCATCTATAATCATCATGTCTCAGCCTCTGAGAGGGGAAGCGCTCAAGATCTACGAAGCTGATATCGCAGGTAGGGGTGTATACGAATCGAATCGAAGCAAATATATCACTATTCGATTCGTATTCGATTAAAGTGATGTATTCGAATTCGGATTCGTATATAATTTGAATTTTAAAAAACGTTCGTATTCGATTCGATAGATATTTGACGTATTTGAATTCGTATTCGAATATTCGAATTCGAAAATATTAGTAATTTTTTTTCTTAAAACAAATTTTTAAAGACATTAAATTATTATTTTATAATAATGTAAAATGTAGTAAAAATATGTTAGAATATAAATAAATTTATTTATAAATTATAATATTCGAATATATATAAATTTATATGTACGCAAAAATTTAATATATTAAAATATGTACACAAATATTTAATATATTAGAATATATATAAATTTATTTATAAATTATAATATTTGAATAATTTGAATAATAAACGAATCGATTCTATTAATATTTGTATTCGAATTCGAAAATAATTCGAATCTAAAATATGATTTGTATTCGGATTCCAATTCCAATATAGCGAATACAAATCATCCTTTTCGATTACAAATCAGTAATCGAATACATTTTATTTGATTTGTACAGAAGAGAAGGGCCTCCAACTGAAGCGCGATTCCTGGCGATTTTAGACGATGCACCCCAAATGAAGATTCCTGGCGATTTTAGACGATGCACCACGACCGCCATGTTCTTCTCCATCCAGGTTATTGACTGAATTTATTAGTTATTCATTTCGTTTAGCGCTAAGAGAGTCAAGGGGGGGGGCCTTTCTTCTTCTTGATTCGGGTCTGCCTTTCTTAGCCTTTTTAGTAGTTATTGAAAAGTTTTTTAACATCGAGCAATAAGTTAAATCCTAATGCCAACAGAAGGGAGAAAATAAAATTTACAAACTTTGAGTTCATCACATGTGTAAGAATTTATCTACAAACAGTAAAATGATTCTTCTATGTGGAAAAGAAGCGGAATATAATCATGAGTAAGTGTTAGTTCAATGCATTGGAAGCTCAAACATGCAATATGAAGCATATTGATCTTATACATTTTCAGTTTTGTTAGTGGCATCAATAAGTGGACAGGGAGGCATGTCATGTACGATTTTGGAAGTTTCCCCCGTTTATAATTTCATGTGATGCTTTGATCTTATGAAAATTTATATTTTTTGTTTGGATTGTGATTTATGTCTATTTTTAAAATTTTTTCAGGCTAAAGGCCGAAGTCGAATAGTTGGTTTGTCATCGTAAGAGAGTCTGCACTCAATTTCTTGAGTATGAGTTCATAGATTAATTTTTTAATGAATGAATTTGAGTTTGGTTTGTTTAATTTGCTTTAAAATGGTTGATTTAAAATCATTTACTCAAATTTTAATCGATTGAGTATTTTGCAGAAGGTCTACATGCAGGCTTGCACTACCCACCTTAATGCTACTGTGAGCACATCTCTTGGACAACACCTCCTCAGCATTAATAGTATTAGATAACATACTTCAATATTTGCAAATCATTTGGAAAATCCTAAGCCCCTCATTGATTAAAGGTTGTGTTGCACTCTCATTCAAGTGTCTCAATGCTAGCCCATCCATAATTCTTTTTTCATACTCGGGTTCTATATTTAATACTCCATTTACATTTCCCCCTTGGTAGGATTATATATACTCATCCATTATTTCTTCAACTCTATTTATATCACCTTGGTAGGATTATATATACTCCTATTTTATTCTATTTCAATTCAATGATATGTTTTCGTTCTGTTTTTCTTTTTGAGTAATTGGTACATCTTTTATTCCATATATGTCATTGCTATACACTTTCATTTACTACATTATGGCTTATTTGTTGCAGGGCATTGAGAATGAACTCAAATATGTAGATGAACTAAGAATATCATCAATTTAATATGGGGGAGAGTTGAGGTGTGTAACACGGAGTTTTTTTCAATTAGTAGCAGAAATAGACTTTTCAATTGAGAGAAGTGTCATTAGGCTTTAGATCTTTTTAAATTTCTTTTGTAAAGATTCTGAATTTGTGAAGTTTGAGTAATGACTACGGAGTATTTTTTTCTATGGGCCTAATAATTGTATCACTAAAAAAATTTTCCTTTCCAGTGCTTCTTATTGCAACCATTTTCAAGGCATTTTCTCAGACTTTTCCATCCTAACTTTAATTCCACCAATACAGATTACACTTTTGTGCTTCTTATCTCAATAGTTCAAGTCATTTCTCGAAAAGAAATATAAATAAGGTTTCAAAAATTGAATTTGATTTTGAACCTCCGTTTGGACTTCAGTGGTTGATGCTTTCTGTACTATTATCACTCACTAAATTATTTTTTACTGTTTTATATGTTATAATGTGTTGTTCCATTTAGCATTCTGTTCTCCTTTCCAATTATTTGCAAACGGAGTACATCTTCCACTTTTATTAGTAGTTTCTTTATTTCAGCATAATTTCGGTTGATTTGATAGTAGTCTCACTGGGTTTGCCCATTTTTAATTGTGCTTAAAAGAACATGTTTTTTTAAAACATGAGTTATTCCCAAATAGACACTTTATGAATATATGACACAGAGACAACACCCATTTTCCATCAATTTATTGTTTGCCACTGATTTTAATTATTATGCTTTCTGTTGTTGTAAAGAAGACATATATTTCACACTAGGCCTCTTACCTTAATTTGCCATTTTTAATGTTTTGTTTTATGGTAAGATGCATCGTGGAAAAAAAATAAATGTTGGTTTTGTGTGATTCTGTTTGGATAACTAAAATTCTAATTTGTGCGAATTTGTTTAGATACACTAACAATAATTTGTATGATATAAAGTATAAACCCATGCCAACCCATCAAGATTTTTAGCTGGAATATGGCCACTGCTTTGGCGTTTTAGTTTGCTCAGTGGACCACTCATGTGAAGACGCTTCCCTAAAGGTTAGTAAATTATATTAGCCTTCTCAATATGTTGTATTCCCATGTGTTTATTGTTTTGGGTTATCTATGATATTGGTGGGGTATAACCCAATAGTCTTGATAACTCTTTTTTATTATTCTAACAGATTATGTTTTCCTGTTCATAGTGTGCGCATGTATGAGACTTTCCCTTTTATAAAATAAAAAAATCAATATAGAGATATCATCCCTTTCAATTATTATAACTTTGCTATGGTATGTGCACTGCCCACTTTCCCTCTACATTTCATTTATAATCACATTCAATATGCTTTAGTGTCATCTTCTTATGGTTTAAAGTTGTGTGAAGTAATTCAAAATAAAAAATGAAGGTGATAAACAGCTCATAAAAGTTGGATGAGCTCTAATTCTTTTATGAATGATTTATAGATTCGATTTAGTGGCATTGGTTAGAGTTATGGTTATTTGTTTAAAAGTTTCTTTGAATAGGTCATAAGCTTAATGTGTCCCTTATTTCTTTTGGTGTCCAATGTAGATACTTTGAAACAAGTTATCACATCGCTTTAAGTACAATTGTTGCTGATCTTCGGATATATTATTATATAATCATAAATGAATACTCTGTATATTTTTGAAGGACCAAATGGATTTATATAGTTATCACACCCCGTTTTTCTCCATCACCATTGCTTCACATGTATATCGACTAAGTAATTTACTCCAGTACATTTCTATTTGTTATGTGTTTGATAGATATGAAATATGCATACACTACAATATCAACTTAAAAAGAGTAAAATAGTTGATGTATTGAAAGTTCTAGAAAAAGATAGTCGATCAAAATATAATCTTTACCCTAAAGTTTAATTTTAAACTAAATTTAGATATTAAAGGCAAAAACGTTGCACACATTGTAAGCATATTTTATCTATTTATTTAATTATTTGCATGGTTGTATTCGGTTAATCCGATTGATTTTAGAATGGAAGATGAAACATGTGAAAAGTAGAGTTTGAAGTTGTGGTCTTCAGGGATGAGGCTGAATCAGATGAACGACCAATGTGTGAGACACTCTGTTATGAAGAAACATTAGTAAGTAGTGGAATTGGTAGGAGCATATACTGGGTCTGCATTGTTTTTTATAATTCTAAACATGATGTCTCCCTCTGTTTAGTGAGGCAAAAGATTGGAAAATGTACTGCAATAGATATGGTCTAGGTGTCTCGGCAATGAGAGGCTTACAACATCAAAAATAACAAAGAGCTACTCAGCACATATATGGTTTTGAATTTTGATTGATGAGAAGGTAGTACTGTCTTATCTTTGATTTAGGGGTGTTACTTTAGAAAACCTATTTTTTTAATCCTTACTGGTTATTTAGTTGTGTTTTAAAAGATTATTAATGTTTCCCTTAATGGGTAGTAGAGCAATGCCTAATTGAGTAAGGAGTTGTGACTGAAACACTAATAAGATTATATGGGATTCCAAACAATTGAATTGCTAGAGTTTAATCTTCCTCTTCTTTCAACTCAGAGAGCGGCGATCAAGGCCACAAATCTTCCTCTTCTATCAATGTGACAGTAAGGTAAATCCTAGATATAAGGGCCTTTGTTTCTTATAACTTTGTCTCATTTATATTCAATTTCATAGTTATAATTACATGTGTTAAATTACAGAATTATGCCAAAAGGTATACAAATCCATTATTTTAATTCTGTACTCCATGTTAATTCTGCAAATTGTTTCAGCTTTTAATTAAAAGTACATTAAATTTATAATAGTCTTTGAACATGAGCCCGAAGTATTCATGCCATGTGAGTTATAATAGTCTCCTTCAGGTTTTCTATTTAAGCATTTTAACAAGTTGCAATATGTGGTACATATCTCATTCTTACAATACATTCGAATATGAAAATATCATTATAGATCAGTGACTATTTGTGTACTTGGACTCAACGAAAGTTTGACTTTGTAATTTATTCTAGTTCCAACACCTACTTTTTGAGCATTCTTTAAGTTTTATTTTCGTAAAAGGTATTAAATTCGTCCAACATTCTTTAAGCATACGAACCTGATTGTGCTATCATTAGTAGAAAGGTGGCCACACCCGCTCAAGTTCAAGAGGTATCATGAAAACCGTTATTAGACCCTCTCTTATCAAGATTCCAGCTTTGACATGCCATGTTTTTTCATATCTAGAGTATATTATTTTGCTTCTTGACTTCCAAAATTGGCTTTATGGTAATCCAGATCAGACCTAATAAGCCCAATATTCCTACTCAGTACTAGGCTATTGGACAAAAGAAACTTAATAGTACCTGATTCTCAATATCAATTGCTCTCTGATTATCATTGGTATTGATATGTAGGAACAAATTAGTGGGATCCTGTTGGTGGGTATGACACAGCCGATGTGAATGCATATAAGAGATATTCAAATTCTGTTTTTTGGAGTGTCAGCAATCATCATAGCCATGAAAATTTCCTTCATTTGTAAAATGATTTTTTATGGTATGTAACATTTATTTTTCAATCCTTACTTTTATGCCTCTTTTTTAGTGAACCTTTCTCACTCTTATTTTCTTTTTTCATCTCTCATAGTAATAGTTAAGATTGTAGATTTTCCTATGATCATGCTACTATTTTTCTCCGTATGTATAATTTCTTCTCATATTTTTCTTCTTATTACACAAGGCAATGACTTAGATGATCAGTATGCATTGAGGGCATTTGAAATTGCATATTCAGATTGTATCTAAGTGGTATTGGGTCTGGTTGACTGCTTACAAGAACCTCTTGAACGGTTGAACTTAATGCCTTATATCTTCAAAAATAGTACGGAGTCGCATTTTTATTACTTTGTATCTTTTTCCATATGTGTAAAGTTGTACTCATTGCCAATTTTGATGATATAATATTAGGATCATATACAAGGTTTATTCTAACACAATTAATACATGCAATGCCACAACTATACGGAGCAAAAAATTAAACTCACAATAAGGCGTGAGTGTTAAATAGGCCGTGATTAGATAATGTCGTTGAATTTAAGATAACTGAGTCTTAATCTTACAAGCCCATTCAAAATGTCATACATCTATGTTCATGAAAAAATATACTCTGTAATAAAAAATACTCCCTCCGTCCGGGAATGATGTTCTCACTCTACTCTTTTTTTCGTCCGGAAATGATGTTCCCACTCTACTCTTTTTTCTCTATTCTTCTAAAATTACCCTCTTCCTTCTTTTCTTTCTTTTTCTTCCTTTCTTTTCTTATCTTCTCTTTCCTCCTTTGGTCTCCGCCACCCCTTTTCCTCATCCCCAGTTCCCCACCCCTTTCTTCTTCCTCCATCTCTGCTATTCATTTCTTCTTCCTCATCTCTGCAATCTTCTTCTTCCTCCTCTCTATAGTCTTTATTCTTCTTTATCTTCCCCTTCTTCTTTCTATTCCATCTTCCTTCTATATCTACGCATATGTATGGAAGCTATAGTGACGGCCGGCGATGGAGATGGCGGCGGCCGGCGATAGCGATGGCGATGGTGAGTCTGCTCTTCTTACTCTCTTTTTTCTTCTCCACCCCCGCTATTCATCATCTTCTTCTTCTTCAATCTAGATCTATGCTAGATCTAAGGGGCTGGCAGCGTTGGCAAAGCAGGCGGCGACGATGGTAGAGCAGATGGCAGTGGTGAGAGCTAGATTCGGATAGATTTGTATTAGATCTTTTTCTTCTCGTTTTGTTTCCCCTGATTTTTCCCTTCCCTTATTGTGGTGACTGGTGAGTGGCTGAAGAAGATGGTGATGATAGGGATGGCGAAGATGTAGTAGTCAGTGATGGCGTTGGGCGGCGGTGATGGCGTTTGGCGGTGATGGGGCCGCGGTGGGCAGCGCGGAGATGGGTGGAGGAGGGTTGGGGCAGTGGTGGCTGGGACAAAGAAATTCAAGGAAGATATGAGGGCATTTTGGACATTTTAATATCATAGTCAGCACTCACTAAAAATGAAGAAAAGTCAAACTGGGAACATCTTTCCCGGACGGAGGGAGTACATTTCTCTACTGATACAATTTGATAATAACTTGTCTTATTGAATATTGAGAGATATGGCCCTATATATAGGGAATACAAGAGTAATCAAAGTACAAGTAGGAAAGGAAAGAATAATCCTAGTAGGAAAGGAAAGAAGTATCCTAATTTAATTATACTTTCTAATATCCCCCCGCAAGCTGATCAACGGAGACGAGGGGCAGCTTGGAACATAAGTACTTAAAAGGAACTGGCGGAAGCGGTTTGGTAAGAATGTCTGCTAGCTGCTCTGAGGAGGAAACATGATGTGGAGTCATAGTGCCTGCCATAACCTCCTCTCATACAAAGTGACAGTCTGTGCCCACATGCTTCATGCGATCATGAAGAACCGGATTTTTGGTGACGCAGATAGTCGACTCATTGTCACAGTATAACTTCGGTTTGGACAGAGGAATACCCAGTGCATCAGTGATATATCGAAGCCACATAGCTTCTGCAACCCCTGCAGCCATAGCTCGATATTCAGCTTCAGTGGATGATCTAGAAACACGAGTCCGCTTTTTCGTGCACCAAGAGATGATATTAGGACCGAGTAGGAGTATGTAGCCCGTGGTAGACTTGCGATCATCTTTATCATTGGCCCAGTCAGAGTCAGAGTAGACAGATAGGTCGAATCCCCCCTTGCGAAAAAGAAGACCATGATTCAAAGTGCCTTTGAGATAGCGCAGAACGCGTTGCAAGGCATGATAGTCCTGCTCAGTGGGGTTGTGCATAGTCTGAGACACTCGATTAACA